GGGGGGGGGGGGGCGGTAGGAAGTAGGGAACCGCCCCCCTTCTGCAAAAATTTCTGCATCCGCCTCTGGTCCTAGCCATGAGGCTATAATAAACTTCCGGCTCGAAGGGGTTCTAGAAAATCGGCCGTAGAAGGCGGATCTGGTCCGATTGGCCCGCTTGGGACTGCCCGCAGCCCGCAAAGATTCTACCTCGGTTTGGATGGGAGCGGGAGGGACTGCAAGCACATTGTTATCGTATGTGAAGTGTTGTTCCTCGTCGAGTCCAGGCCTTCTGGCTAACGTTAGACTTAGTATGATTGTCCTGGTTTGAGACGTCACGATAGGCTACTTAGAGTTTTGTTAAGACTTCGCCACTCATATAAGCAGATGCAATCCAAGACCCTTTGACTTAGGCCTATCACCTTTTAGCGATTCCCAGGCATGTGTCGGAATCTGCTTGAATGATTATGAACTCGATTGACAAGCCTATAGGTCTAATGTTAGGTCAATATACAAGGAGGTCAATGTCGCAAGGAGAGACAAGTCCGAAAAAGAGTTTAGTGGCTCTCTTGGTAGTGAGTTTGGCCCCCGTGGCAGGGGACCCAAGTTGAAACCAAACCAAGTTTGGGATGTTTAGGAATGGAGAACACTGAGCCTGTTGCACCATCACTTCTAAATGTGGGACGTTAAGGAACTCCAGAGGTGAAGGCTGAACTCAAATAATGTTTCTTCAGAGGGACCACTCAGCCTAATTGAATTCTAATAAGGGAAGAGGTTGCTAGAGTCATAATGAGGCTGCAAGGGAGAAGGGATAGCTGGGATTCCTTACCAAAGGGGTATTGATGAGCTGTGAGCTTCTGCACTCTATAACTCCTATCATATCAAAATATATGTGGTCCATGTCAGTGTAGACCAGGGCTAGGCTAGTGAGTTATGGTATGCTATGTTTGAGCTCTACCCTTTGTTAGACTATTGTATCATATGGTAGACTTAATTGCTCTATGCCAAACCTGGGAAAGCATTGGCTATTACACTCTAATAATGAATGCTGGACGATTGATTAGCATCCTTATCCACACTCTAATTTGTTAGAGGATTATGTTCTCTAATACAGTTAGATCTTCCCCTCTATGAAGGGGAATAATATGAGAAAGGTGTCTTATGGTCTTTTGTTGTTTTTTTTTATACATTATGTCCCCTAACATGGGAAGAAAGTGTAGACATATGGAACTGTGCTGGCAAATCCTGTTTACTCTCACTCTCATGTCACTAGTGAATTGCAAGGGGCTATCATTAAGTGATTCATGTGTTTCTTGCATATCCTATCACATATGGACTAATAGTACTAAGGTTCATTTTACCCCACACCTGTGGTAACCAATTGTGGACTCAAGCTGACTTTTTGTGATTGATAGAAAACCCAGGTCTGTTGAGAATATGTCCAAGCTCAAGTGCCTTACACTTCGAGGTGTTCGGAACTTTGGACCAGACGACGAGCAGAAGCTTGACTTTGAGACTCCTATCACTCTCATCCAGGGACAGAATGGTTGTGGGAAAACAGTCAGTTTGCCATTTCCTCATTGCGTAATCTCATCCATGGGTATATCTCTTCAGCCATACTTAGAAGTGAAAGATTTTGTGTTGCTTAATTGTTTCATTTAAAAAGTTTTAGTATTTTTCAAATATAAACCATAAAAGTTCATTCTATTACATAGTTATATATTTTTTAAGTTAGACAAAA